GGGGGGGGGGGGGGGAACGGGACACGGAGACGCGTAACCAAAAGCAGAACTTGGTCCAGAAGCCCTGGTGTGGAATGTAAATATTCTCTCTGCCAAGGAGTAAGCGATTTCTTAGCGCCGCGAAGTTAGAGAGAGAGAGAAATCTGGCAGAAGAAATGGAGGAGCGATCGATCCCTAGATGGCAGCTCCTCTGTGGGGTGTGGACAATTTGGGGGCTCCTCCAGACACTGAAGCACATGTGGCCACAGGGAGTCCAGCCATGGGGTGGTTCCGCCCCACATCACCCACAGGGACCTGTGGCTGGGATGCTCCAGGCACGTGGAGTCTCGACACTGATCTCCACCTGCCCCACCTTCATTCTTCGCTCGGTGGCCACGTGCCCATCCCCATCTCAGCAAAGCTCTTCCTTTCTTCCCATCCTAAAAAAAGAAGAGGAAAAAATTCCCTCGCAGCCCATGTGTTCCCCAGCTCCTGCCCCAGCACAGACCAGGGAGACGCTGCTCCTCGTGGGCGTGCTGCTGCTGGGATGTGTTTCCAGCAGCATCACCCTGGGGCTTCCTCACACGTTCCTTCACCAAGTTATTTCATTTTTCTCTCTGCCCCCAATTAACCAACCTCAGGACCCTCTTCCCCGCTGGAGAGGTTTCCATCCCTGCACTGGGTGTCACGCCGTGGTGCGGCTCTGGCAGGGTGGAGTCAAGGTGGCTGCATCTTTTGTGGTTAGGATCACAGATGGAGCAGCATCTCCAGAGAAGATGACAACATGGGTTTCCCCATGGCCAAGCCACCTCCATCCGGTGGCATTAGATGTCATTTTGAGTTACCCCCTTTGTGAAACCTGGCGTTGGGTATCCACACGTGGCACGTGTGTTATTCCCGTGGGACACCTGCTTGGCCGGGGCTGTCCCATGGTCCTGCCACCTCTCTCCGAGACACCCTGCTCCTGTTGGTGAGGAGAAGAGCTGGACCCTTGACCTGGGACATTAGATGTCATTTTGAGTTACCCCCTTCATGAAACCTGGCGTTGGGTATCCACACGTGGCATGTGTGTTATTCCCATGGGACACCTGCTTGGCCAGGGCTGGTCCTGCCACCTCTCTCCAAGACACCCTGCTCCTGTTGGTGACCAAGAGCTGGACCCTTGACCTGAAACGAGACTCTCCATGAGCTGGTCCCTTCGTGTATTGGCCATTTGGATGTTATAACCACCAAATCGCTGGAAAAGGGGGTAAAATGCTGTGATCTGCTCGCTCAGACTGCTGGGAGGAAGGGCATGGTTTGCAGCCCCATGGAATTTGTGAGACAAAAATACCCAATTTGAAATACACTGGCCCATAGTGATCAAAACCAGAGTCCATGCAGCCATCTGTTCATAGGATCATAGAATGGTTTGGGCTGGAAGGGACTTTAAAGACCACCCAGTGCCCTGGGCAGGGACTCCTCCCACCAGACCAGGTTGCTCAAAGCCCCGTCCAACTTGGCCTTGAACACCTCTTGTTCCTGGAGGACAGGACAGAGTCCATCCCCAGCAGATCTGTAGATGACACCAAAGAAGGAGGAGCAGCTGATACCCCAGAGGATGTTCTCCCGGACAAGGAAGAATGCAAAGTCCTGCCCTTGGGGAGGAACCAGGCACCTGGACAAGCTGGACATGCTGGAGGCCACCCAACTGGAAAGCAGCTTTGCAGGGAAGAACCCAGGGTCCTGGTGGACACCAAGTTGACCATGAGGCAGCCATGGGCCCTCATGCAACAAAGGCGAATGGTGTCCTGGGCTGTGTTGGGAGTGTTGGCCACTGGTTTGAGGTGGCCACCCCAGGAGTGATGGGTCCAGCACTGGGCTCCTCAGTCCAGGAGGGACACGGACAGGCTGGAGAGAGCCCAGCGAGGGGCCGTGGCAATGGTTAAAGCATTGAAGCATCCACCAGAGGAGGAGAGGCTGAGAGAGCCGGCATCAAATCAGTGTGTTTCAATAACTGATGGAAAGGAGTAAAGAAAACTGAGGCAGAGTCTCCTCGGTGGTGCCCAGAGCAAGGACACACAGTGAAATAGAGGAAATTCTGTTTGAACATTTAAAAATACTGTTTTACTGTGAGGCTGGTCAAACAGTGGCACAGGTTCCCCAGGGAAATCGTGGGGTCTCCACCCTGGGAGATGCTCAAAACCTGGTGGGACAAGGTCCTGCGGTGGCTGAGCTGCCTTTGAGGGGGCTGGGGTTGGACTGGGCGATCTCCAGCCACGCTGGGATCGCTGGGATTTGGTAAAATCTTTTGTACCCACCTTATATTTGGGGGGACCTGCCATTGATCCCAACGCTGTGAAGCTGTTTGTGGTCCCGAGGAGGGTTTCCCGTTGGAGCAAGGAGAGACGGGGAGGGTGGATGTTTGAATTTTACAGGAAATAAACGTCCCTGCTTTCTCCCGCAGGTTAGCGGGACGGGCGCAGGCTGCAGGAATTCAGGTAAGGATGGAGACATCTCTTCCTCCTCCCATCCCCTGCCACGCACGGGACCGAGTCCCTGCTCACCTCCTGCCCTTGTCCCTCATCTCCTCTCTCTGCACAAGGAGGGTTCCCCCCCTGCCCATCGCTCCACAACTGCTCAAAAGGATGCTTTTGAGGGTTTTTTTTGCGCTCAGACCCAATTCTGCTCCGTCGGCAGGCAGTGGGAAAACGTCATTAACTTCAGCGCAAACAGCACTAAATGCTATTTCGTTAGTGTTGCCTCTGTGCCCAGGGGCCTCGGCCAGGAAACAGAACCCTATTGTGATGGACCCTCCCCAGGTGTGCTAAAAATACCATCTCTGCCCTCAAAGAGCCTGCGCTTTAGGTGCTAATGGGGCAGCACAGAGGGGCAGACAAACGGGCGGTCAGGAGAAAGCCTGAGCCCGGCGGCGATGGAGCCTCTGGAGAACCTGAGTAAGATCCCTATCTTCACCCACCTGAAAAGCTTCATAGGGAGGGCACCGGGTCAGGTTTCCACACCCCGCCATGGACACGCTGAGGCCACAATGCCCACCTTTCACCATTCCCAGTGGGAAGAAGGAGGGTTCTCCTGGCAGACAAGCACAGCGTGGGCAGGCAGGTGATGAGAAGGAAGGGATGGGGACTGGTGTAGTGGGACCTTCTCTCCAGGACCTTCCCCTTTACACTGAGGCTTGATCAGTCATACAGACCAGACAGGAGAAGTTCTGTCATCTTTAACTTCCCAGCCCAGCCCCAGCCTGCGGTGATGGCCCTGATGGATCGGAAACCCAATTTTGCACGATAAAACCACCAGGGTTTGTCCTCAAAAAGTAATTTGCAAAGGAGCAAAAAAGGGTTTGGTGTGTTTTTTTTTCTGCCTCCCTGCCCTTTCAGAGCTGGGCAGAGAGAGCCCCAAGGTGGCTGGAGAGTTTTTCTGATCGTTTTTACATTAGGAATTCAAGTCCTGCCTCATCTGGGAAACAATCTGGTAACTCAAGGAGGAGTGAAATTAAACCATTCGAAGGGGAGGCGACGTGGCAGGGCTGTTTGTAGGGGCTGTGTGGGGCTTTTTCTTAATGTCCTTTTTCCTCTAATGGCTTTGGAGAAAAGGGTGGCTTTGACCCTGGTCACCCCGTAGCCACTGATGTGGAGATGAGAATCTCCCCATTCCCTGAGATGCCCAGCGGTGCCTCCACCACCACCAGCACTGGTGAGCACTCAATTAGAGCCAACTGAAAATAGGAGAGAGAGAGAACTTTCAGGTTTCCTTATCATCCAGAAAGAATGAAAAAAGACATGTCAGTGAGAGAAAAAATATCTTTCAGAATATGGTGGTGGTTCTTCAAGTTTCTCACGTTAAGGACTTGTGATGGGTCCTCCTGGACCTTGCTGATGGCAGGGCCCGGTCAAGCCGGACTGGTGTCACCTGGCCAACCTTTGGCTCTGGTTGGCTACCAATGATGGAGGGGGCTGGGATGGGCAGCATCCTCAGGGGCCATCTGTTCACTGATCTTGGCTGTTCTGGGGGAAAAATGCCCAGCACTGACCTCACTGTGGCTTGCAAAGTTGAGTGTGTCACCTCATGGGCCCTCGCTCGCAGGACCTGGGGACCTGCCACAGCCCCATGCTCCTGGTGTCCCTGGTGTCATTGACTCAGGAGTTTTGATTCTTCTCCCAAGGAACAGGTGATAAGACAAGAGGAAATGGCCTCAAGCTGCTCCAAGGGAGGTTTAGGATGGATATTAGGAGGAATGTCTTCACAGAAAGGGTTGTGAATCCCTGGAAGAGGCTGCCCAGGGCAGTGGTGGAGTCACCATCCCTGGAGAGATTTAAAAGATGGGTAAATGTAGTGCTTAGAGATACGGTTTAGTGATGGTTCTTGTCAGTGTTGGGTTGATGGTTGCACTTGATGATCTGAAAGGTCCCTTCCAACCCAGACAATTCCATCATTCCTCGGTTTCCCAGGTTGTCCAAGGTGAGGAGCTCTGGGGTCAGCAGGACACTTGGTGGCCATGAGGGGTGCTTGCAGGTTTGGTCAGCTCAGAGCTTCCCAGGGGCGTCCCCATAGATGCACAGCCCCAACCAGAAGGTTGAGGAGGTCCCACCACAGGAGTTTGGCTCCCATGACCATGCAGGACATCCCGTGATGTCCCATGACCATGCAGGAGGTGATGTCCAAGCCCCACAGGCCATGCCCACGGCCCCATTGTGTGTTTCCCACCACCCAGGCACGGAGGGTTGCGCTTTAATGCCCGAGAGCCGTGTCCCCGTCCTTCGGAAGAGGCACGTTCCAGCTGACACATCCACCATCGTGCGACCGATCCCAACCGCCCGCCGGCCACAGCGGCTTTTCTCCGAACCACCCGGAGGGGTCTTCCCCGTGGGCACCCGCCTCTCGGGTCACTGCATGTACCATTCTCCTCCACCTCCTCGCCCATGGGCACCAGGCGCTGCCCCACCGGACTCAGCCATCTACGGGAGGTTACACGTTTAAAAAAAGCCCCAGAAAAGGACAGCTGACGTCCCCGCTCCTGCTCCGTCTGCCCATCTTCTTTGGTTTCCACCCAAACGGTGTCCTCGCGGCGTCGTTTTGCCTTCTGCCCCTCGGGATGCCCGGCAGAGCCTCCTGGGTCCCCTTGTGGGGGTGGCACAAAGTGGGGGGGTTCTGCCTTCCAAAAACCCTCGAAACAGCTCAAAACCCCGCTGCCAGGGTGACGTCGTGCGTGACGTGGGGCGTCACTGGAGGGGACACGGGCTCTGCCTCCCCTCAGGCTGTTAAAGCCTCCCCCTTCCCGCGGGGGGGGGGCTCGGGTCAGCACCCCCCGCCCTCGGCTGCAGGAGTCGCCTTCAGGTTTTGTCCCAAATTTGTTTAAAATTCAGAGGAATACAGCCCGGGCAGCTCTCCTCTCCTCTCCCAGCCCTTTCTCCCCCAGCTGCTCAGAAAGTGCCGCAATCACTTCCAATCACTGCTCATCTTCTACCTTTGCTTTTTTCTTTTTTTTTTTTTTTTTTCCTCGGTGCTTGGGGATGTTATTTTTAGTGGCAGGAGCTGAGTGCCCCTAACGCAGCCATAAATATTTATCACGGGTGATGAAGGGAAAGGCGTTGATAGACCCCCAAAACCAGCCCTCGGCTTCTCCCCCGCTGGGACGGGATGGGGGGGAGAGCTGGGGGGTCCCTGCGGCCCCCGGGGAGGGGGAAAATAAACAGTGGTGGTGGCCACAGAATTAGCGGGATGTAAATATTGTGAAAGAGCTGTCAGGAGGGAAGGAAGGGAAAGTGACGATGGCCTGGTGCTGGCCACGGGCCGGCAACCTGCGCTGGTAGCACGGCCAGCCCCCCAACCCGGGGCTGTGTCCCCAGGGGGGTGAGGGGGGGATTCTGCCCCTCGGCTCTGGGGAGACACCCCCCCCCCCCCAAGTCAGAAGGACATGGAGCTGTTGGATGGGGCCAGAGGAGGCCCCGGAGATGCTGGGAGGGCTGGAGCCCCTCTGCTGGGAGGGGGGGCTGAGAGAGTTGGGGGGGTTCAGCCTGGAGAAGAGAAGGCTCCGGGGAGACCTTGGAGCCCCTGCCAGTCCCTCAAGAAGGGGGGCTCCAGGAAAGCTGGGGAGGGACTCTGGAGGAGAGAGGGGAGCCCTAGGAGGAGGGGGAAGGGTTGGACACTGCAAGAGGGGAGATGGAGCTGAGCTGTGGGGAAGAACTTGTTTGGTGGGAGGGTGGTGAGAGCCTGGCCCAGGTTGCCCCGAGAAGCTGTGGCTGCCCCATCCCTGGAGGGGTTCAAGGGCAGGTTGGACAGAACAGTTTCCCACCACCTTCTCAGGAGATAATTGCTTCCTAAATCTAGTCTCAATCTCCCCTCTCTCAGGTTTGGTTTTTTTCAAGTAGACCAGGTTGCTCAGAGCAGCAGGAACTGTGCACCCCCCCAGGATGCAGAGGGTCCTGGAGAAGCCGTGGTCTGGTGGACACCGGTGACCTGCACCCCGGGAAGCACTGGGACAAGGACAGAGATGGGGGTCTGTGGCCATCAAGGGGGTCCCTGTGCCAGGCAGGATGCCCAGGACCATCCTGCACCCCAGTAACACCAGTGACGTGCTGGGACATCGCGTAGGGGAAAAACCACCCCCCCCCCAGCTCGTTATGGTTAACCTGTTAATAACCCGTGGTTAACCTGGAAAACTATTGTTTGCCTTTGCAATAATCGCCTTAAACCCCCCAGGAGGAACAGTTCAGGCCGGGCTTCGGTGTGTGTCCCTATTTCTGCACCCCCACCCCCCCTGGGGGGGTTCCCCAGCCCCGGTGGCATCGTGTTGGGGGGGACCGGCTGCCCCCCAGCCCCTCACCCCAGAGCCCGGGATGCAGCATCCCAGGGGCAGCCAGGGAAATCTGCCCCCCGGCACCCCAGAGCAGCCGGGCTGGGAGCTGGGCACGCGTGTGTGTGTGTGTGTATGTGTGTGTGTGCACCCACGTGTCGCATCCCGGTCCCAGGAGGTCGGATGGATCCGAAGGTGCTGCCGCTGCCTCCCTGCCCCTCTCCGCTGCCCGGCGTCTGCCCCTTGAAGCTGCTGGTAAAATAGAACTAACCACAAATACGGTTCTTTCCTTCCCAGTTTGGGGGGTTATTTCACGTTTCTGGCCAGGGGCAGCCCCCATCGAATTCCGATTGCAGGGAAATTCTGCAGCTTCCCCAGGGCCGAGCCTGGACCAAAACAAAAATGCAAAATACCACCTAAAAAAGTTGGTTTTTTTCATTGCCTGGCCAGAGCCACATCCCTGCGTGGGTGACCCCATGCCGGGGGTCAGTGCCAGGAGGGGGAGACCCCCATTTCCATGGGGCGCTGTGTGTCCCGCACCCGGTCTGTGGGTGCTGTGCCAAAGGAAGGTGGCAGCTTTGCCCGCGGGTGCTCAGGGGGCTCCCCAAGGACCCCCCACAGTCGGGGTGTCCCCAGCATCAGAGCCCAGCACTTGGGGGAACAGGGGGGTCGGGGACACCCTGGGATGGGGTACCTGTAGTGCGGGGGCATCCCCGGGAGCCGTCGGCAAACCCGCAGCGGGGCCGGGGCTCCGGGAGAGCCCTGAGAACTGGAACCATGTCCTGTCATCTGCCAAATACCGAATAAACTCATCTCATCCCTCGGGGGTGTCTCGTCCCTTCGCCCTGTGGAAAAAAAAAAATAAAAATGGCAGAGATGCTCATGGAAAATGGGGGGGAAATACCATTTTTTTAACGGGAAGGGGCGCAGCGTGGGAGCAGCTGCCGGGGTCTCCGGAGGGGCCGAGCCGGGAGATTTCCCCGCATTGGTCACGGCCGCAGGTCAGTGCCAGCAGACAGAGCTCCCTGTGTTCGGGGCCGCCTGCACCCCGCCAGATGTTCCCCCCCTCCCCGCAAACCCCAGCACATCTGGAGGCAGCAGAACGGGGCTGGGAGGGCACCGAGGTGGGAGCAGCCGCGATGGACCCCCCCCTCCCCCCATCCCCTCCTGGTGCAGCCGTGGAAACTCTACTGGGGGAGCTGGGGTTGGGGGAACGGGTGATGGACCCCCCCCCAAAAAATAGGTCGCTGCAACACCCTGTGGTGGCTGCAGACACGGAGATGGTGAGGGAGGGGTCTCGCAGCCCCCACGGCCATGCCCGGCTCCCGCCAAGCATCACACCCAGACCCTCCTGCAGCCGCTGCCGGGGGGTCCCCCGGCCCCCACTGCCCCCCGTGTGGGGAGAGGAAACCTAAACCCCCCAGAATCTGTGGCTCTACGGGCACAGATGTGCCCCCCCCACTTCCCGGCCCCGATTTGGCACGGGGCTGCCCGGCTCCTGGTGCCCGGCTGTGCCAGGGATTAGGTGCCGCGGGAAAGGCACGGACCCTTCCCAAAACTGGGGGGTCCCAGCCGCTCCGGGCCTGGGCGGGCTTTGTGCTCCCCATCCTGCACCCCCATGATGGCTCTGCTCCCCCATCCCAGCTCTGCTCCCCATCCCACATCCCCGGTGGGGGCCAGACAGGGGGCTGTTTCATCTTGGGGGGGCCCAAGAAGACCCCAGGGACCCTGTGCACCCCTAGGTGACCCCAGGACCCCATGAGCCCCCCGGCCAGGCTCAGACCTGGGTGCCCCTTGCTCTTTCCCCTCCTGCCTGGAGGGCGGGGGGGACAGGGGGTCCCATGGGTGTCGGGGGGGGGCACTGCCCCAATTTTGGGGGGGGGAGCCCCACACCTGTGCAGCTTAGACACCCACAGGCCCCTCTCCTGGGTCAGCCATTGTCGTGCCCCCCTCCCCAGGATGTGGGGCAGGGCTGGGGGGGCACCTGGCCTCCCCCCCCCGCCCAGTGTGGGGTCAGGGACCTCTGTGTCAGCGCTTG